TGAGAAAGAAAACACAATAGATATTTTCTAAATTTAGGTATCATGTGCATTTTTTCTTTGCTTTTGTTTTCTTAACTACTAACAGACATTTTTTAATTAAAAAAATATAAGGCCCCAAATAGGACAGAACCTTGAAGGGGCGAACAAAATTTAAGGGCAAAGACAGAAAAATGATAAGTACTCTACAAAGTTAATAGAATACATACACTATTGATCAGATCAGCAATTCTCAGTAACAGCTAATTGATACATGACCATGAGGTAAAACGTCTCTCCTGTCAGGAGATGGCCAACAGAAAATAGAATTAAAACAACAAATTAAAATTCTAAGTCTGGAGAGGTATAGAAGGCTACCAGCTAAATGTGTCTTCTTCTGGAAAAGAGGGAGACTCACCAGCTGTTTTCTGTGGAGCCTGAGCCCAGGGGAGGACGGTGAAGTGAGCTGTAAGTACCCAATTAGCAAAGTGAGTGATGAATAAAGAGACGTGAGCTTTGATGACAGAGATGATACTACTAATCACTTGTCCTGTAAAGTATGTCTTCACATTCAGTGATCAATACCTCGGCGTCCTCAGGGGTTTAGATTATAGGAAAATGCACAGCCCGGGCCAAGACCTCCTCTGTGAGCTCGTGACCCTGCACTTAGATGTCTCAAGGGCACCTCCAACTCCACGTGCACAGAGCTGACTTCACGGTGCTCCTCCCATAGCCGTCCTGCCCAGGGCACCTGGTCGGGGGGCAAGGTCTCCCTTCCTCTCCCAGCTCAGGCCCATCACTCACAGATGTGACTGGACCCCTCCTTCAGGGCCCAGATTTCCTCAGTCACCGAGCCCCACCACCCACACCTGACCTACCAGGTACTCACTGGCACTCACTCAGCACTGACTCTGTGCTGGGGACCACGCTGCACACTGTGCACACGTTATCTCACTGGATCTCCACAGCTGTCCTGGGAATTGGGTACATCACTGCTTCAATTGATTACTTAAATTGTTTCACTTCCTTGAGTGCGTCATCCAAAGTGACATGGCTACTGAGCCACAAACCTGGGACTGAAAACCACTTGAGAATTGAACACTGCTACACCTCGCAACACCCTACTCTGACTCACCACATCACCTCCTGCCGAGCCTAGTAAATGTTTGCAAGCATTCAACAAACACAAAAGTGGTCTCCAAGAGCACCCAACTCCCCTACTTAAAATCTGTCAATGACGGTCCACTGCCCTTAGGAGAAAGTCCCACCGGGCCTGAGCACAGCCCTACGGCCCAGCATCCGT